GACGGTTGGGCAGTGGCGGGGGTTAGGCGACGGTTGGGGCGGTGGTGGGCGTTGAGCGACGGTTGGGGCGGTGGGGATGGGGATTGGGGTGGTTGTGGTGGTGAGGGTTGCAGAGATATTTTGGTGTGGGGGCAGGGGTATTTTGGGCAATCTAATCCATTAGTCAACACTCACTAAAAATGACCAAAAGTCAAACCGAGAACATATAATCCGGACGGAAGGAGTATTTAAGTATTATTTAGGTAATTAAAAAGTTTAACTGCTACATTGGGAAAAGATATACTCTGTATATTTTAGTGTTATTTATTGCAAATTTTATTACAAACAATCAAATAAATTAAATTAAAAATAAAATTGATTAAACTTTGTAACATGTAACGAATGAGAATATCTAGACGGGATGAAGGGGTGGTTCTTTAGAGGTGGAGTGTGCACATTTTGCACACACCAAAGGCAGCCCCTAAAGAATAGGGTCATGCTCGGTAAATGACAAACAGCACGTGGGCCAGTTATGCGGCTTCTTCTCCTTCTTCTTCTTCTTCAATCTCTTGCCGCCAGCATGGCAACCGTGGCCTATAAGCAAAAGCCAATGCAAGCGTCTCCGAAATGCCCACTCCCTCCCCCCCACATCACACTACTCTTCCCGCAATGATCGGGATCCAGTTGAGAAGCCTAAGACAGTTGTGCGCGCCATTACCATGAAAGTGGGCCCTGACGTGGCACCTTCCCCTGTTTTCTCTCCTCTCCCTCCCTCTCCCTTCTTCACAAAGATTCCCCCTTGAAATTTCCAGACCCTCTCTCTCTCTCCTTCTCCGCCATTGTTAAATAAGGTGGCCGGGAGAGAGCTTCATTCATCACTCGGAGTTAATTTCTTCGCTTTTCTTGGACGATCGAGTGGGTGATTAGCTAGCTAGCTAGCGGCTAGGCTCTGAATCTGATCTCCATTAATTAAATTCCTGTACTGTGCAAGGTTCTTTTCTTTCCTTTAATGGCGGACTTTAAATTTTCAAAGTCGGGTTGATCCTTTACCTCGCACAAACCCACAATTTTAGCATCGTTTTAATTCTGGGTTTTTATTTCTTGATTTCAATTCTTCCTCTTTAAATTCTCTCGCGGTTTAGGGTCACCATCCCGGAAATTTAAAAGGCCAATTTCAAGAAAATGTTGGACGCCTGGTTGAAGGGCAAGTTTTACTCCAAATGGTAAGAATCTTGAGAATGCCTGTACTGGAAATTTCTGGGTTTCTGTTAGTTTTCAGTTTTCTGGGTTTTCGATTTCTCGGGTTTGATCTTTGGTTATTGCAGCAAGACGGGGATCCGGGTGACGAAGACTCGGTTGGATTTGATTCGGAGAAAGAGGAAGGCTATGCAGAAGTATTTGAAGAATGATATTGCAGACCTTCTCATGAAGGATTTGAATGTCAATGCATATGGAAGGGTATGTATATTGTTTGGTTTTCCCATGTTCATGTTACAATTGATCTGATCTTCTTCTGCAATTTTGTCTTTTTACATTTTCTTGCACTGTTTATGTTTTGAGTTGATATCTCTGGCATTTGGGAGTGTTTCAGTGACACATTTTCTTGGTATAATGATGAAACAGTCTGAAGGGCTTCTGCTTGAACTCAATCTTTCAAGGTGTTATGATTTGTTGGACCAGTACTGTCAACAGATCTCCAGCAATCTTTCAGCCATGAATAAACAGAGGTATATAAACTGTTTTGGCATTGTTTTTTTTGAACTGTTTTAGAGCCTGTTTTGAAATTGCATAAGTTATTAATTTGCACAAATTGTGATTAATATGGCTTCATGGGCTAAACTTCCTGAACTATCAAAAAAAGGTTAGTGGAATATGTTTTGTTGATAAGTTAAAGAAAATAAAATGTAAAATAAAGGGTAAAAGTGCAGCAACTGTCATTCATTTCATCAAGTTTGTAGCCTTTTCTTTTGAAACCTAACTATCTATGCTGTGTGAATAAAATATTAAACTGCCCAGAGAGTGCCCAGAAGATTGCAAGGAAGCTGTGTCAACCTTGATGTTTGCAGCAGCAAGATTTGCTGACCTGCCCGAACTGCGTGATCTGAGAACCATATTCGCCGATCGATACGGGAAATCCATCGATTTCTTTGTCAATAAAGAGGTGGGTTTTTTTTCAACAAAAAATGACATTAATTATTTCATTAATAACTGGCCCTCTGAAAATGGCATCTTAGTTTGTTGAAAAGCTGAAGGGAGAGATCCCCAGCAAGGAGATGAAGCTTCAGTTGATTCAAGAAATAGCCTCAGAGTGCAGTATAGAATGGGACTCAAAGGCTTTGGAACAGAACCTATACAAACCACCAGCTGCAACTGATGAACCAGAAAGGGCAGAAACTCATCTTTCAGCTGATACAAATCCAGAAAAGGAAGAAGAATCTGATGTTAGGGCTCCATTGCATTACAACTCAATCCCTCCTCCATATACTAAACCGCCGGGGCGAAATAAGAAAGCCGATTTAAAAGAAGAAAATGGCATTAGAGTTGAATATGAGGTGAGGGCAGAGCCAATTGCAGAAAATAGAATACCAATAGACTTTGGTTCAAGTAGAGGTGAAACTCTACCAAAAGGGAACCATCTTAGGGCAGCTTCATGTAACCCGGACGGTTGGGATCCGAAACCACACGTCCATCCAAAGCTACCGGATTACGATGACCTCATCGCCCGGTTGGCAGCCGCAAGATCACAGCAAAAGTGATGAAAGAAATGATATGTTGTTGTTGATGGTAATGTACAATACATAATTCATAGAAATCATACTGTGTACACAAAATATACATGATATTTACATTGGTTGTGATCGAATAAGGTTCTCGAGTGCATTTTCTTGTTGTCCCACACACTAAGCAGGTCCTATTCTTTTCTTAGTATGACATTTTTAGGGGAGAATAACAATTTTCCACTATAATCAAACAAGCCAACAATTGTCAGTTTCAATCTGGCATTTGCGTACTTGTCTCTATCAGGCCGGTATAAAATATGACAATGACAATTTATTGGTTCATTCATACAAAAGTGCCCTGAATAAAAAGGGATCCTTAAAAAGATAATGGTGTGCCTCAACAGTTTTGGTACACTTTGATTACAACATGAAAATGTGTCATTATTATTACCCTCCATACACACACACACACACACACACACACAAAAGGTAATTAAACTTCACCTTGCCTGCAAAACTGTGCCCCAACACAATGCGCTCCCAAAAATTACTTATAATAGCAATAGTAATCTAAGGGCTCACTGGCTGTTTATGAACAAATGTGATCCCCTTCTCAATGCTGGCCTTCAACTCTGGCTTCAGTGCTTCCAAAGCCTTCTGTTCATACTCGGTCAGTCCTTGAAGGTCGGATGGGACCAATGCCTCAACACCATCCTTTCCCAATTTGACCCTTGATGCAAAGAACGGAAGCTCTGTGAGATCTGACTGCACAAAAGCACACTCGTACACATCACTATCCCCATCAATGGCACGGAGCGATGACTCCACGAATCTCGCGGCTGCGTACGCCATTGACAGTGTGGCAGATCCTGCCCCCGCCTTTGCTTCAACGACTTCTGTCCCCGCGTTCTGGATTCTCACAGTCAACTCATCAACTTCCTCGTCTGAAAATGAAGTCGAAGGCTTCGTCTTCGACAACAGGGGTAAAATGGTAATCCCAGCATGACCTCCGACGACTGGGACGTCAACATCAATGAGCCTGAGGTTTTTCTTCTGAGCAACGAACGTGTTTGCCCTCACAACATCAAGGGTGGTGACACCAAACAGTTTCTTGGGATTATAAACTCCCTTTTGTTTCAGGACCTCGGCTGCGATCGGGACCGTCGAGTTGACAGGGTTGCTGATGATGTGGATGAAAGCATCTGGGCAGTGATCTGCTACAGCCTCGACCAGGGTCTTCACGATGTTGGCATTTATGTTGAACAGGTCATCACGTGTCATCCCCGGCTTCCTTGGGACACCGGCAGGTATGACGACCACATTGACATCTTTCAAACAGTTTCCTAATTCGGAAGCTGCTGTGAAATCAAACACGCGTGAGGGAGTGTTGCAGTGACTGATGTCTGCTGCCACTCCCTTGACATTGGCTATGTCATAAAGGTGCAAATCCGAGACTAGCGGGGACATCTTGACCAGAAGGGCTAGAGGTTGACCTATGCCACCCGCAGCCCCAAGAATGGCCACTTTGTATGACGCCTGGGGTTGAACACAGTTGTGCCTATCCCTCTGAGCTTTTAGAGTAGAGAAGGATTGACGAAGAAATGGTTTAATACTTTCACTCCCAAAAAATGATGATGATGATTCACATCTTATTATAGATGATTCAGTAGCTTTAAGTCCTGCAAAGCTCCTAAAAGGTGCCTTATGCATTAAAGCCAACGTCTTAGACTGTGAAATTGAGCTACTCTTGGGTCTGGCAGGCGTGATTAGCCCAAATGAAAGAGTGGTTGTTGATGTTATGGCCATATCTCAACCTGCCATGACAGCATTGAATTCAACTTAGTCTATTCATTGTAACACCATTGAAACTAAAGAATAAGAAAAACACAAAGTTGTAAAATAGAAACAACAATAACAATTATCTACATAGAAGATTGTCGTTTCGTTGGCCTATTCCCCAGCCAAAACTAACTGAATCAAGAGAAACAAAAAAATAAGGGTAGGCTCTCCAGTAAAGAATTTGCTTTATTGTTTCAACTTTCAAATGATTGTACTGTATATGGAAAAACTTCAAATATAGCAACAATGGTAACTATTTTGTGCTTTCCAATCGCAAAATTCAATTTTTTGCAATTAATTCACATCCAAAGAATGGAGGTGTGAAATTTAAAATAAACTGGACAATAATGTTCTACGTTTTTTCACCCCAATTCAGCAGCTATGAATAAAATTTTCTTCTACTCAATAAACAGTGATAACAATGAGCTGACATAAAACACAGTTCACTTAACGGAAAAGATAAAATTAAAAATCAAAGTAAATTTTCCAATATGCAAATATTCAAAAACCATAAAATATGCAGTTTCAAAAAAAACAAAGGGGAATCACTACTCCGTAAAATAAAATGGATAAAAATGGAAGACAGGATTACAACAAACCAAACACTTGTCTGAAACACGAAATGGGAGATCTAAACAGTATATATGCGCACATCTTCGGAAACGTAAGAATAGTAGAATATATGAAGAGTTGTGTTTCAGATCTGGAACATTTCACCGCAGATCTAAAAAAATCACTTGTAATGACAACGTTTAAAAACTGTGTCCCGTATTATCTTCATAATCGAGTCGAGAATTAAACTTAGTCTGAGAATGTATGAAGAATTGAAGATGGTGGAAGCTGAAGCAACTAAGAGTGCGAAGATGGAGCATACCTTGACGTGGAAGAATTGTGATTTGTCGAGTCGAATGCCAGAGCAGAGAGACGGAGAAGAAGAAGAAGCTTACCCAGTTTTGTGGAATCCGCGGTGGAATGTAGAAGGATAGAATTAGAGTTGGGCTTGAAAATGAAGAGCACTATGTCGGGCCCATTATTAATCGGCCCAATATGGTTTCAATGGAAATTAATAATTAAGAGTTTATTTTCTAGGTCTTACTCCTTCCGTCCCCTGTATTTGTCCACTTTCATTTTTACACACCATTCAATGCACTTTTTATTAATCCATTTTATCTTGTAATTTGTATATTAAAAAATTATAAAAATTATATATTAATAATCTCTATGTTAAGACAAATCAAACAAGATCACACATGACTATATTTAGGTTTACACATTGAGAGAATTTGATGAGTCGAAGTGCTTAGATGAACAGTTCCAAAAGTCAAATGTGGAAAAATACAGGGGGACGGAGGGAGTATGTGATTAAGGTTATGTTCATCTTGGCTTTTTTTTTATTATTTATTCTTATTGAAATCAGTCCAGACCAGATCAGAAACAACTTTAAATGTAACTACAGATCAGATTAGATTAGATCAGAACTTATTCCAATCAAATCAGAATAAACATGGCTTAAATCTAGTTTGGATAGATTTTTATGTTTATGAAAGCGTGTAATTTTAGAACCATGCTACACAATGGTCACATCACTGATGCACGACAACTTATCACTATCATTAAGAATATTAACCAGAGTATCTTAAAGGTTCAGATCATTTACAAAGATAGAATCACTTAAAAACGTTATTCTGCTTTATTTTGTCATACGACAAAGTCAAAAATAGTTGGTCTTTGACCCCATTGGAGATAATGGAATCGTAAGTTTTTCATCGACAATTGTTATGTATACGAAAAATAGTCTAATAGTCTAAAACTTTGTGTTATAACAATATTATTGATTATTTTGCTCCTTTCATTAAGACATAAGTACTCGTCGGACTATCGATTATAATGTTCGTCACTCACAAATAAATCTATTATCACGTAGAATACTTTTTCATTAAAAAAAAGACATGCTTCTTACAATCATATATTATAACAATCTTATATTATTGTAGAGTATTGTGGAGTATTGTGATTGCATCTACTCTATTTTGAATTGATTAATTAAATTTGTTTTGGTCAACAAAATCAATTCTTACTTTTATCTATTATAATGTCAAGTGACAACACATGTGTGATCATATGTCATGTTTTTTCACCAAAAAGTATTACATGTATTTTGTCACATACTGTAACAATCTTCCATATTATTGTATGATGAAGTATTGAGTATAAGTTTTCCCAAAAAAGAAAATGCCTAGTATAAGTTTTTGCTCCTTTTTTTTTGATTTTATGTGTAATTCTAAAAAAGCATGCTATTTGATCCATGTTTTAAAACAACAAGTGAAAGAATGGTAGTTTTTATTTAAAAAAACAAGAAAAATATGGTTGCATTCAAAAGAATATAATGACAAGGACATATTGGTCATTTCCTCCTCTTAATCCACTCTTCTTGATCCAAGAGCCAAAACGAAAGTGGACAAAAATATCAGAATAGCAACTCATATTTTAAGTTAATTTTTGAATAAGATTGTTTTAATCAATGATCTCACTTCTAACATTTTGTTGATTATAATGTTAAGTGACAAAACATGTATGGTCATGTGTCATGTTTTTTCAACCAAAATAATTTTGTCACATGCGGAGTACTATAACAATATACTCCGTAATATTCTACTCTCTATGTCTCGAATTACCCAATACACTTCACTATTCATTGTAAAATTAAATTTATTTTTAATTTGCTAAAATAAAATAACGTTATCACTTCTTGTTTTGAAGTTTTTAATTTAATTTTAAATATGTAATTTTATTATTATTTTAATTCTACACTAAAAATTAAATATATTGAAAAAATGGAAGGGTTCGTAACACTAAAATTAAAAAATTGGAGTATTAGACAATTAAATAGACCATATAACTCTATTTAAATTGTGTTTAAATAAGATTACATTGGTCGACTTCAAAAAAAGATTACATTGGTCAATTGTCAACTCTTATATTTTATCGATTATAGTGTCAAGTAACAAAATACGTGTTCTTTTGCATTTGTCTCATGCTTTTTCATCATAAGTTATTCCATGTTTTTTTTCATTTATTCTATTCGTCTCAAATTGTTTATCACATTTCAAATAACATGTAAAATATCATTTCTTTGATAATTAGTTTATTTACAAATTAGCAGAGAAATAAAAGTATAAATTTCATCGTACCCTTCAAAAGAATGCGATAAGAATATTTTGTTTCATCAAATAGTGATCAAACTCGAATAAACAAACAAAAATTATTTAGAAAATGAAATAGGATAAAGCTATTTGTACCCCAACATTTGTACCCCACTTTGTACTCCGCAGGTTTGCACCAACACTTTGTGTTGGTGTAAAACTAATTTTTGTTAATGCACCAACATTTTGTGTCCGTGTAAATTTTTGTGAACGCACCAACACTTATGTCGGTGTAAACCATCAAAATGTTTGTGTATTACTGCGGTATACAAATGGGGTATACTTTGTGGTGTAAGTGTAGCATAACCCAATGAAATACTAACTGTATCATTCTTTTGGAGACAGAAGAAGCATTATAGACTGGAGAGTGCTTCGTTTTAGATAATGAAAATCTAGTCATATTTAATTTGTTTTTAAGTTTTATGATTTTGGTCAATGGTTTCAAGTTTTATGTTTTATACACTATAAAACAGGGTAATTCATCTGTCATGTTTTTGTATCACACTCATGTTATGTGTAGTTAGTTCATCACATCGAGATCAGATCAAAATTTAATTGAATCAAATAAACTACTCCCTCTGTCCTATAATGTTTTTCCCACACACTTTTTACCCGGTCAAACATTAATCACTTTCTTTACCTATTTTCATTAGGTATTTGATAAAATAATATAGTCTTGTCACCACTTGTTTTGTAGAGCTTTTGATGTAGTTTTTAAATATATAAATTTTATTTTTTAATTTTATACCTATAATCAAATAAATTGAATTGAAAATAAAATCGGTCAAACTTCGTAAAATGAATCGGGAAGATCATTATAGGACGGATGGAGTAAGTAAAAGAAAATTGAAGACAAGTCCTTCATTCATAAAACATGCGAACGACGTCGTATCGGGTACGAATTTTTCCGACTGAACCTTTAGCCCTTTACTCAAAAGCTTTTTGGTCTGCAAGACAAAAGCTAAAGTTGCTGTCTTTCCGATTCTTGCATTCTCCCAAGTCTCGAGTCTTTCTCCCTCGCCAATATGATAAAATCTCTCTACTCTCTTATAAGCAAGAATTCCGCCCAATCTTTCTTTTCAGTGTAGAATTGAAGTTTATGCGTGAGTTGTTTATCACAGAAATCGAATTGGGCATAGATAGAATCCGGCCGGAATTCCGATGGGCTGTGGGCAATCGAAATTCGAGCTCGAAGAGACGGTGATCCGATGCAGGGACCGGAAGCAGTTCATGAAGGACGCGGTGGCTGCCCGGAACGCTTTCGCGGCGGCTCACTCCAGCTACGCTGTTTCCTTGAAGAACACCGGCGCCGCCCTCAGTGATTACGCACAGGCCGAAGCTCAATTCACGAGTCATTCAGACGCCGTCGCCCCCGTCGGCGCCGGACCCACGTCTCTTCCCGGGGCTCCGGTGTTCATCCCTCCTTCCAACTATGCGGTGCCCCTCCCTCCCCCTCCTCTCCCTTTCTTCACCTCGTCTCCCTTGCAGCGCGCTGCCACCATGCCGGAGATCGCCATACCGGCGTCCGGCTCGGAGAGGGAGGGCACGATCCTCGAGGAGACGGAGGAAGAGGAGGGCGAGAATGAAAGTGTTCACAGTTTGAAGCACCGGAGCCGTATGGGAAGAGGGTCAGTTTCGACCGCGGATGGGGATGAATTGCCGCCGCCTTCTCCGCCAAGAACTCCTATGGAGAGCAATCATCCCCGGCCGCCTCATCCCCTCCACGATTGGGATTTTTTCTCCATGGGTAACGTCACTGGACACACCCTAGCTGACGTGGATGAGGATGATGATGAAGACGAGGAAGGACTTGAAAGAGAAGAACATGAACACAAGGTGTTTGAGGAAGAAGCTCACAGAAGGGCAAACGGTGGTGGCCGTGGGCCAGGAGAGAGGAGGAGTGGGAAGGAAGAGGCAACTGGTGTGGCGGAGAGAGCAGCCGTGCATCCACCACAGCCACCGGCGGCAGCCCCAAAGACTGCTAAAAGAGTTAAGGGTTCATCTCTGCTGGAGGGCAGCAAGAAACTCACCTTGCAGCTGATATTTTCTGAACTTGATGATTACTTCCTCAGGGCCTCTGAAAGTGCTCATGAAGTCTCCAAGATGCTCGAGGCAACTCGATTGCATTATCACTCAAACTTTGCTGATCCTAAAGGTATCATTGCAATTTATTTAATGCAAATGTGTTAAAGAGTGTCTCAACTCTCAATTCCACTAAAGACTATGAAATGAATCCCTTACCAGACTTCTTAAAGGAAACTTCTTAAAGATGCAAGCTTTCTTACCAGACTTTAAGTATCTCCATCCAGTTTGGTATATATTGTAGAATTGCTAAATTGACTGTTGGAACTTGGAAACAATCAGTATGAATATTAATACACTTCCCTTTTTTTTCTGTGTTGTGATTATTGGTCATCAATAGTTAAGCTAATAAGCAGTGCCGTAGTGGAAAGATTTACATCATTGCTTTTGGTGGGAAGGATATCCCGAGATGCCATTTCTGTTAAATTTATAGTTTCTTGAGAAGTTTCTGTGCTCCCAAAGGCCGGTTGTGTTCTTCCAATATAATGCTCATACATGTTTACTTCATAGGGCATATTGATCATGCTACAAAGGTCATGCGTGTCATTACATGGAATAAGTCATTCAAAGGTATGCTAAATCAAGATGATGCCAAAGATGACTTTGATTCGGAAGAAAATGAAACTCATGCAACTGTACTAGACAAAATGCTTGCATGGGAGAAAAAACTTTATGATGAAGTGAAGGTATGGTTTTTTTCTTCTTACCTTTAGGAGTTTATTTGGTGAGTGTGAATGAGAGTTTTTGGGGTTGTATGATGGGATTGGGAATACTACTTATTGATGGAGAATTCATTAACGAGATGTTTCATTTGTGGGGATGAGATTTTGGGAATTAGAGTGTGAAGTGTAGATGAGAATTGTTGAGAGAGAATTCATGGAAACAGTGCAAATACTCCGTAATATTTTTTACTAAACTACCCTTTTGCAATACGTGGTCCCTTCTTTTTTATGTATGGCATTTTAGTTAGTTTTTAGTTTCACATTCCCTTCCTCTTATCTGCCTCTCCAATTTATGTCATTCGCCTATAACAAACATGGTCATTTGATAAGTTGTCATCACAACTCCCTTTAAAGAGGTGGTGTAATTAAGATACTTAGGAGCTAGAACCATATAAACCTGTTTCCCGTGCATCCCTCAAATAAAAAAATTTCTTTTTCAGTACCACGATCATTTGTTAATATCCATTTTTAACACATGCTTGCATTTTCCACTTTTGGTCAACAACTATGGATTTCTTGCCACTTTTGATCACTAATCCAGCCAAATTTCTCACAATTCCCAGTTTTTTTGTGGGATAAGTGATCCAAGAGTGGCAAGAAAGCTAGATTCTTGCACCAAAAGGGGGAAATGAAAACTTGATGCATTAAATAGGAATGACCTAATAGTCATGGGACCAGAATTGGTATGTTTTTCTCCTTCAAATTTTTATTTTTCCGCTAAATATTTTTCCTTGTGGGTGATGCTTGATAGGCGGGTGAGCAAATGAAAGTTGAGTATCAAAAAAAGGTGACATCACTGAACAAGTTAAAGAAGCGTGGGGCAAATACGGAAGCATTGGAGAAGATGAAGGCGACAGTGAGCCATTTGCATACAAGATACATTGTTGACATGCAATCTATGGATTCAACTGTTTCTGAAATAAACCGTTTACGAGATGATCAACTCTTTCCAAAACTATATGCACTTGTCGACGGGTAAGTTTTCACATTTAAAAATGTCTTCCTGTTAACCGGTCTCTTCACATTCTCCTTATGGTATACTCCAGATTTTTAATTTCCATTGTTTTTTGATTGGCTAGATCTCTTGCTTAACTTGCTTGACTTCTAAACTTGCTGTGATTTCTGCCTCCAGTATGGCTAAAATGTGGGAGACCATGAAAGGACACCACGAGACACAATCACAGATTGTGCTAGCTCTAAGGTCTCTGGACATGTTGCAGTCCCCCAAAGAGACAAGCGAGCACCTCCACGAACGCACGTACCAGCTGGGTGTTGTACTGCAAGAGTGGCACACACAGTTTGAGAAGATGATTGCTCACCAGAAGGAATACATCAGAGCCCTGAACAGCTGGTTGAAGCTGAACCTCGTCCCCATCGACACGAATCTCAAGGAAAGGGTAGTTTCATCCCCGCAAAGACCACAAAACCCTCCGATCCTCTCACTTCTCCACGCGTGGGAGGACCTGGTCGAGAAGCTTCCGAATGAGCACGCAAGGAACGCGATATACAGCTTCTCCGCGGTCGTGAACACCATAGTTCAGTACCAAGTGGAGGAGATGAAGTTGAGGGATAGGTGCAATGAGATGAGGAAGGAGCTGACGAAGAAGACAGGGCAGTACGAGGATTGGTATCGCAAGTATACCCAACGGAGGGGGCCCAACGACGCTGACATGGAGGAAGAGGGGGGTGGGGATAAGGAGGATAACGCCGTGATCGAGCGGCAGGTACAGCTGGAGAATCTGAGGCATAGGTTGAAAGAGGAGGAGGAGAGCTACCAGAGGCAGTGTATCCAGGTCAGCGAAAAGTCACTGACCAGTCTCAAGACCGCCCTGCCCGAACTCTTTCGGGCAATGTCGGAATTCTCCCGCGCTTGTTCAGCAATGTACAAGACCCTGAGGTCCATTGTACGCTAGCGTGGGGACGGGACCATGCTGCAGTAACACCAAGTTTGACACCAAGGTTCACATGCAATAATTTGACACCGAGAATTACTTCCTCTGCGAAAAATAGTCAGCCTTGGTGTCAAACTTGGTGTTATATTCTCATTATTGTTAGCCTGGTCAAGGAAACAACAAACAAGTGCTTCTTCTTCTTCTTCTTCTTCTTTCTTCTTCTTCTTCTTCTTCTTCTGATAAGTACAAGATTTTGAAGTGTTCATAATTAATTCTCCATCTTAAAATGCATAGTAAACTAATCAGTATATCATTGTACTATATACTACGTATTAATTACAGTGTGTGGTTGTCAATGTGGGTGTCAACTTTTAGTGTGTAATAATATATCCATTGTTCAATATTAATGTATGAACAATAAATATCATGAAAAACTAGAGCAAGCAAAGCCCACACAAAAGAACAACTATATAAAAGCTGCAGTCAATGAAGAGAGCACGAAAGACTTGATAAACTACCAACCCAACCTCCAACATGGCAAAAGCCCCTTTCCACCCACCATTTTCTTCTTCTTCTTGTTGCTGTCTTCCCGCCGCCAGAGGCGGGACCAACAGCCAAGCCGCCACGATTGCGACATCTGTTAGGATGAGGATGCAGAGCGGCATGGAGGCGATGATGCTATTGGATTGTGATGAGCCTGCAAGAAGTGCGATCGTTATCGAACATACCAGTCGCGTGTTCTCTGAGGATAACACGCATGCGTTGACGTCTTTCAAAGAGAATGTCGGGTGGAGAAGACATGGATTGGGTTGTTCTTCTGTGGTCTTCTCTGATTGGCCTGCGAATTTGAAGTGAATATTTTCAAAAACCGTTCTCTAGGCGCACCAATTTTGACAGGAAAAGTTTGATACTAAATATTTTATAAACACATACAGAAAATTATTATCTTGATCTTAGAGTTTTTAAATAATCATTATAGTGTTAATTAAATGCTTCACTAAGACCATGTTTTCTTATTTAAAGCTAGACAATATTAATAGAACCCACTTGGAGTGATCCTCTTCCTCCATGCATCTCTCTCTTCATCTTCCATTTTCTATCTGATTTCTTGACTTTTAGAAGAACTTTTTTTTAATTTTTTGTTTTAGAAAAACAGGAAATTGATTTGCATCAAAGAGTTTAATAAATAAAATCAGTTTAATTATTGGAGCTCAATCTTTTATTGTTCTCTTTTGTACGGGGGAAACTTCAATCTTTCCTTTTGTGTGGTTTCCCACCCTTTCATCCTTGATTCTCTCCTTCTCGGACGTTTTAGTTAGTACTCCTTTTTTTATAATAACAATTGCATAAATTTTAATCCAACTAGCATCACACCAATGCATTGCATGACTCATATTTACGTTAAAAAATTATAGTGTCTTTCTTTTTAAGAATAGTAATAGAATATGTAATGAAATATATAGTTTTCATTATTTTAATTTTAAAATTTCATATTTCAAATTTAGAATTTAGAATTTAAATTTTCAATTTTCACTTTTAAATTTTAAATTTTGATTTTTAATTTTAAATGTTAAATTTTATATTTTAAATTTTAAATTTTAAATTTTTGGAATATATCAAAGCAACTCTATTTGAGAAGATTGTGATGTCTAAAGATATCAAATATGAACTTTATTTTGAATTCTTTAAACATTCACAAAACGATTCTGATATCGAAAAGATACGAAAACTCATATTTCTTGCACTCATCAAATGACCATTAGAATGTAAAATCCATTTGTCTTCTAACTATTAACATAAACATTTAGTTGGGTTTGTTTCCTCAAAAAAATTAAACATCTAGATGCGTTTGTTTTTTAGGGGTTATTTCGGCACTCAAAGTGAGTGTCAAAATAATATGCTTTGTAGTATTCGCTTTAGTTGGGTTTGTTTTTTGAGTGGTTATTTTGGAACTCAAAGGAGATATTTTGAACACTCAAAGTACCACAACATAGAACTCGCTCAAATTGGATGTCGTATAGTGCTATATTCTAAAAATTAATGAGTCATACCTCATAACTTCTTCATTGCTCATCGCTCCAGCACCCTTCCCCTCGATGGGGTTGGGATCAATTTTACGAATATAGCATCTTAAAGATCCCAATTTGATAATTGCCAAATGGTTGTAAATGGATAGTCAAAAATTTGATTACCGTCCACATCTATGTTCGTTTATACGGAAAATATCTCTATCTGTTTAAAACAATTAGTATTCGTATTTAATTAAGGACGTCTGATTGGTAAAAGGATACGAATTTGGTAATCATACATTCAATCCGTTTATAATCCACTCTGCATATACATGAGTTTGAGTAATCGTCTATTCATGTATCTGATCCGTTATGCATAATTTTCTATTGACATTTCAAAGTATATGACATCTTTATATCTAAATTATGTGTAGATGCACAAATACATGTGTATGTGTAGTATGTCATACTTTTTATTATATATGGTTTTCGAATATAGTATAGATTAGAAAATATAAGAAAAATACTATTGCGTGACATATTTTAATTAAATGAATATATCTTAAAAGTATTTATATATACTATTTTGTATATAGTTGAATTTTACTTTAAAGAATTGGAAGCAGATACAAATATATCTGATATCCGACAGATGCAAATATGATTTCATTTTTTAGCATCTGTCAAAATCCATATCCGGATTCGATATCGAATGAAAATAAACTAACACAGATTTGACAATGACACATCCAATCTGATTAAGATCCGCTAACACCCCTAAAATGTCATACTATAACCCTTCCCCATGTCAAATAACTTTCTTCATTCGATTTTTTTAACACATTTATGCTGCGTTCACATGAAGGAGCATGTTAGAAATCATTCCTAACTTTTAAGAATCATAACCCTTGGATGAATTAATTTCTTAATACCAAACCCACGAATGTAAGAATGTTATTTTATACCTCATAATTGATTCGTACTCCATTGTTGATAACAAATTTAAAATTATCAAAATAAATAAATCATGATTCAATTCATTTATATAAAAAAAATCTCAATTCATCTTTCTATTGTAAGTTTGTAACTTGCGGAAAAACTTCAAAACTTTATTTATGACAACCGTTTCAGCTCTTGGCATGTATTTATTTGTGTGCCCACCCCCTAAACTTAATTCATCCGAGGTAAGACATGTCTATGAACACGACGAAACCTCACCAAAAAACATTCTCCGACTGCTTCAATAAGATAAAGAAACCTCATTTATCATCCTCCGCCGCTTGGGTTCTCCGGGGATGCAGGCGGCGACCAAGAACACAATCATTTGCATTCCCAGATTCGGGCAGGGGTAGCGAACAAGCAACCAAAGTAGACCAGTTTCTATTTGAGAATTTCAAGTCCACTTATCCAAATGATCAAACACATGAAGAAGAAGATGATGAAAAGAGAGAGGGAAGCAGACCGAACCCGGAGGACAGTATTGCGGTTCTAACATGTGGTTCGAACCCGTACGAGGAATTCAAGCGGTCCATGCGTGAGGTGATAGAGGGAAGGTTGAAGCATCATAGGGAACTAGACTGGGAGTTCATGGAAGAGCTGTTGCTTTGTTATTTGAACTTGAATGATAAGAAATCGTACAAGTTTGTTCTGAGTGCCTTTGTCGACTTGATTGCTGTTTTTGAGGTTTCTTCTGGCACTGTTCCGGCCATAATGTCACTGGAAACTGGATCACCGGGTCACTAATGGGGATGCAATTGTGCAAAACACAAAGCTATTGACTACTGTAGCCAAATATATACGGAGTTAATGTACATTTACATACAGTTTTCATAAATAGCTGTTTAAAAACTGTAAAACTTTCCCACAGGAATGAAACCCATAATTTATTTCGGTAAGGAATTCACTCGAGTTGGCCTTAAACTCTATGCAAGATTGGATTGTGCAGGGCAGTAGCCCTTACCTCAAAATCAGCTAACTAAAATCCAAACACTTTGTTAACAAGGAGCGCAACTATCCTTCTTGTTCTGGCATGAGAAGTTTCTGACAAAGGATCACAACATATCAGCACCAGGGTGTTTGGTGACGAGGAGAAAAAATGTGTACCGCGATGAGAATGCAGAGAGGCTGTTGAACCTCTGCATCTGCGGTGGCTGTAGAGATGTTTCCATTGTTAGGGAGAAATTTTTGTTGGGATCCATTGTTTGAGGCCGGTTGCATGAATCATGTCCTTTTTATGTGCTGCTCGTATAAAGATTGATACTTGACGGGGATATAATCCTTGAATCTGTCAACAAAATTCCAGTTTTATAACAAAGATTCACAATATTAATTTTTAAATACACGCTTTCAAATTTTCTAATGATCCATTCTTTTTCCCCAGAAACATATCCATCGGGTAAAAGATTCTAAAAAAATAAATAAAGAATTCCGTCTAGTGCAACGAAAAACAAAGCAAAATGAGATATTAGTGGTTGTCTGCTTAAAGATAACCAAATCATCAGGTTTATAGGAGTATCAAAAAGTGTATCATTAGTGGGAAGGATCCATACCTGTGAAGAAGAGGTAGTCTATCAGGAAGAGAAAACAATCTTGCAATGGATTCCAGGACATGACCGATTTTCATTGCTTTGGACTTCAAGGCTTTCATGTAAGTAACAAATTCTTTGTATTCCAGATCACTAAGCTTCTCACGGACCTGCATCATTAATTCAGAGGACCCTTAATTGCTAATCAACCACTTTTAAAATATTAAAAAGAAATTAAAAAAGTACTGCAGAAAGTCAGAAATGCCCCTGTAATTGATCAAAACATTTAGAAGGAAACCAACACAAAAATGGTACTCTACTCAAAATGATCAAAAATATAGCCACAAATATCACTTACCCAAATCAAGTGGAACAAAATGTTTTCGGATTATCAGCCATGCATCCACATTATTTAGACAAATGAAACAGAAAACAAAAGAGACTTCAAAAAACATTTTATTAGATATGTCCTCGTCCCTATTTGTCAGACCATTTTGAAAATACATGGAGGCATGGAGCACTCATTTCTTTTTGTGAGAATTGCCCTTCAAAATATAAACATAGCAGACTGCAAAGTATGAAAAGTGATTGTAACACATAATGTTGTATATGTGTAGCCAATTCGTAAATAAGGGAAAATAAATAGACATTTTAAAATAAAGTGTACAAACAAGTATGACCAGAGTATTTGCTAGCACAAACTTGTGTCTGAAACCTTAGAATCTGTTCAATGAATTGTAGAATAAAGAAAAGATTTCTCACCTGGACAAGAAAGGTGGATCCTTTGTTTTCGACGTCTTGAGAAGATGTGGCAGAAGGAGACAGTTTTCCATCACTATTAGATAAGGCAACCTCAGTTTGCAACCTCATCTCATCTTTAGGTAGCTTTTCTATCTTTTTTTGAGATCCAAGATTGGTTAATCTTCCATCATCCAACACATTGGAACCCTTGTTACCTTCCCTAGAAGAACCTATCTGTTCAGGTCCTGTTATAACCAATCTAGGCTTCTTCAGGGAGCAAGGTTTAATAATATCCTCATCAGATTCTGTTCTGATCAAATCAACTATTTTATGATGGCCATACGCTGGTGTTTTTCTCAAAGGGCCCAACAATTTGCTTTCAAATTCAAACAAATTGCTTGACTTCTTTACAGTCAAATCCTGAAATACCTTCTCAGATTTCAGAGATGAACGGTTGGCGGGGACGATGTCATCCAGATTAATGACATTCTTGTTGCAATGTTTGGCATTGCGTGCAGGAGGAACATGCAAGGACTAATCATTTCAAAAAAGAAATAGGTTGATACTCATCATCAACATTGAAACGATATGCAGTGAAGAGAAATTAGAGACTTACCGAAGTGCTGGAAATCTTAACATCAGATAGAGGTTTGAAGTCTTTAACTTGACTGACATTTTCTGGGATAAACATAGATTTTTCCGTCAGGTAAAATTTCTGCAATAATTTTTTTTCATAAATACTCCCTCTGTTCCTTAAAAACTTCACTTTTTGCTTTTTCAAAGTAAAGTTTTGTTAAGTTTGACCTTCAATAGTTTATAAATTATGATTCGTATTGTTTGAACACATGAAAGTGACTTCAACCAATTTGTATCAATTATATATTGGATGACGTTTATTTGCCTTTAGTAGTTTTTGGCTTTAGGAGGGTCTTTTTTCCTTAGTTTGTAGCTCAGGTTTGTGGGTTTCAGGTCTTGATGTTTGAATTGGCTCGGTGCTTCTTCTCTCTCTTTACTCATACTGCATTTCTGATGCTGTGATTTCTTTGCTTGTGCATATGTTTGCTTTGAAATGGGGGTCTTTTGGAAATAGCCTCTCTACTTCCAAGTAGAGGTAAAGTTTGTGTACACACACCCTCCCTAGACAGAGTAGACACTAATTTCTCTGGGATCTTATTGGGTTCGTTGTTGTTGGTCTTAAATATTTTCTACTAAGTACTAATTACTATGAACATCTTACATTAATTTTTAGTAATGTACAAAAAAGATAGTTATAGCATAGTTGTGAATGGCGCTCACCATTCTCGCCTATGGCGCTTATGGCTCTGTGGCGGCCTTCTGACGCCATCCTCAAGCCTGGCGAGGCGTTTTACGCCAATCTCGCCATAAGCGGTCGCCATGGACGCCAAAGGCTGTGGCGAAAGGCGTTCGCTATCTACGCCAGACCGGTCAAGGGTTTTAATTGACTTTTTTTTTAAAAAAGCCCGCTGACCTGACCTATATCAGTACACGATCGAAGGACTTCATCGATTCAACTGCCTCGCCTCTGCCTCTGCCCCTCGCCGTCGATCAAATTCTGCTCGCCTACTCAGCCTCCTGCCCTCCTCAATTAGTCCTCAGCCGGCGCCGATCCTCTTTCCTCTCTCCCGAGTCACTTCTTCGCAGATTCAGAGCCAGCGCAAGACTCCACACTTCGCAGGTCACTCAGTCCTCTTTTTTTTTGTTTTCTTATTGTTTTTTTTTGTGAATGGTTATTGCTTTCTCTTTAAGTACTAAATTTTGTTTTTTGTTTTAACTTTTACAGTTTTACCAATAACTCATGTTTTACTTTGATAATTATGTTTGATACAAATTTAAGACTAAAAGTTTAGACTTGAACCATATATATATATATATATATATATATATATATATATATATATATATATATATATATATATATATATATATATATATATATATTATTTATTTATTTATATATATAATGTTCGCCATTTGACCGCCCGCCGCTCGCCACGCTTCTCGCCATAAAAAAGAACCTCTCACCCACCACTCGCCATTCGCCATTCACAACTATGAGTTATAGTGAAAGATTAGTGTTGGAAACCTTGAAAAGGAACAGGTGAGTTTATTTAGAGACATGATTACTGATTGTGATGGAAAGTAGAGATATTGACAAATATGTGACGCATAAGATTAATGCTGGCACACATGGAAAGGAGCAAAAGGAGTATTATGTGATAAAAATGTACCCGTAAGATTGAATGAAAATTTAGAACTGCTAGAACATCAGCTCTACCTTGTGAATCTGAATGTTGAAATATTATGAGAGAATTGATAAACAAGAAGCGTGTTGTTGAGATCCATATCATCGTATGCTATGATAGATGGGTGGAAAAGCTAGAAATAAATTAATAGAACAAAGAAAAATCACAGGGAAAAATAGAGTGCACAAAGAGAAGTCGGTTAGAGCACAATGGCCCGACCAAAAGATGTAGGTTCAGTGTAAAAAGGACATATGAGCATTAAGGAAACTTTTGATGTGGGTTGAATTAGTAAATTAGATGGTTAGTTCTTGAAAAGTGTAAATGAAAATGAAAATCCATATCAGATTTAAGGTATGTTTGGTAGAAACTGCGAGGAGAAGAAAAAACACTAAAGAGAAGTACTGCCTTTGTTTGGTTGGGTTTACCTTGGAAAATGGAAGTGAAACTTTTGTTCTTTTTCAGTATTTCTTACATACATGATATGGAGTATATTATATGGAGTAGAGTAACTTCTAAAGGTTCCTATTTTTTTAGAAATCTATTTTATGTTATTTTGTGCTTCAAACTAGGAGAGCTACTACACTCAATAATATACTCCCTTCGTCCCCTTGAATTCTTTACACTTTCTATATTTGGCTATCCTATTGGATTCTATACACTTCCAAATTTAGAAGTATCAAGGTTTCAATATTCCTATATACCCTTTTGTACACCAATCACATCATCTCTAATATCTCACCCACCTTACTTTAATAATTGTACTCTCAAACGCAAATTTGGAAAGTGAGTGATATTCTTATATTTGACTAAAACTTAGTGAAATCTTCTTTGTGGGAGTAAATAAATAAATAAATAATACGAGTTTGAATAGATGGGGGAGTATGAGTTTTGTCAAAATGGCGGAGTGCTTCGGGCTTTCAACAACAACAACAACAACCCAGGTGAATCCCACAACAGTCTGGGGAGGGTGTGTGTACGCAGACCTTGCCCCTACTTAGAAGTAGGGAGACTGTTTCCAAGAGAAATTTAAAACTAACATACTGCGATTAAATCAGCTATATTACATGAAACAGAGTGTTGGGCAGAAAAAGATGAACATAAACACAAGGTTAGTGTGGCGAAAATGAAGATGCTTTGTTGGATGAGCGGTCATACACGTATGGATAAAATAAGGAATGAAGATATGAGAGCTAGAGTTGGAGTGACACCTATTGTAGAAAAAAATGTAGAAACTCGTCTTAGGTGGTTTGGACATGTAGAGAGAAGACCAAAAGAGCATCTGGTGAGAAGGGTTGATCAAATGGTGAATAGACATGTGGCTAGAGGAAGAGATAGACCTAAGAGGGCTTGGCAAGAAGTGGTCATACGAGACCTTCGCGTGAATGATCTCACAGGCCACAGCAGATATGATACATGATAGGGCACAATGACTTCGTTTGATCCATGTAGCCGACCCCACCTAGTGGGATAAGACTTTGTTGTTGTAGTATGAGGTTGAACAGATATCTAGAATAACTTTTAAGGGTTTGAGACTCATTTTCTGGTCCCCTAATATTGGTTTCCATCCAAAATGACTATCTTGTTCCCCTAGAGTTCTCCAGATTAATAATGAGCCCTTAAGTTAATGGGCAAATGAAATCTTAATTGATTCCTTCTCCAACCCCCACTTCTTTCAACCAAGCTGGGTTTAAGACACTTACCCCTTGCATCATACTGCATGAGCTCACGTTTTGTTGGGTTTGACACTCTTGCATCTCGAAAGAAGCGAGTTAGTGAAAAAACCACCTCACCAAATTTGGAGTAACACTGCCACATAAAACACGAGAAAAACATTTATTTATTAAAAAACAATACTTGCCAAGAATTTCAATAAAAATCCAAACTAAAATTTGCAAACCGCACATTCATATGAGGTTGTATCCAACGTGATACTTGGGCTCGACGATTTGGATGAGTGAACCTGATTCAGATGAGTTATTTAACCTAATTGGGAGTTTTATACACACACACACACACATATATATAAGGGCTAAAAAATGAATTACAAACAACCTTTCATCACAAAAAATGATAGCACCATAGTCATGCCTATGGCGAATGACACGACCAACAGCCTGATTTACAGCACGTGATGCTTGTTGATTGTACCACTCTTCTCCAGTAAGGCCCTGTGGATCACCATCTGATTTAAGCAAACAAAAAATAAAGTCATCACTTGACTAGGCATCTGAGTCGTACCTTAGCTGTTGATGGTAGTTGCGATTGGGCTTGTTGGTCCATATATTCACGCTTCAAACGAACCTAAATATGAAACACATCAACATGTATCATATCAGCTAAGATACATCGTTTGGGGGTAGAGGTAATATAGGTTATAGGTCAATCATCATCTTTATCAGCACCTTATTCCCAAGTTGTTGGGTATGTGGCATGAAATTTGTACTGCTAATTAATTGTCTAAAATTTAAAACAAGAATATGGTCCAGTATATCCCACTCAAACAGTACCAAGAAAACAGTCCAGTAAGCAGACTTTAATTCTACCCCAACGAGTAGAGAAACTGTTACGAGCCCCCCCCCCCCCAACACTGAGAGATAGTGTGTGAGTGAGTGTGACTTCCTTGTGAAGAAATAATGAGATGAAATATTAAAGGCCTCTGAACATTGTCAAATTGAGAACTGACATCTTAATGAAATTTCAAGAACAGAGAAACACAAAAACCTTAGGATTACTTGTAGTTGCAAATGGTATGCCAGTGATCACAACAGCTCTCCCAGCATGGTCGGCAAAATCTAATCCTTCACTCACCTGTTGGATCAATTATTAAGCATAAAAAGGATTATAGAGAACATAAGGCCTTTATAATCTCAAAAAGTAACTTGGCAACATAAAAGACAAATTAGCACTTTGGAGTAGTTTAAAAACAACCGGCCAAAAGCAATCCATCGAGTATAAGAAACAAAGATTCACGCTGCATTGTAGCCTTAAAAAGGTACCTTGCCACGACAGACTGCAAAAAACACTGCTCCAGAAGCTGATTTGTCCTTTAACTTAGACATGTAGTCCTGGTATAACAGAAGAAAAGAGTCAAGGTGAGGTCAATAATAAAAAACACTTCCCACTTTCCCTTTTCGGACGTTCCAAAAAAACGTCTCACCTACTGTTTTTCCTTTTAATGTAATGAATGTGTGGCTCAAATGATTTCTCTTTCATGTAAAAAAATTCCAACCAAACACTTTTCACTTTTCAACACTTTTCTTAAACACCGTGAAAATCAAACTAGGTAATGTTTTTTTGGGACGGAGGGAGTACGTAAAAACTTAATAAAGGTAGTATTTTGGTTACTTCAATTGCTGAAGGAAAGAGAGAAGATTGTCTTGGCTCCACAACAGGTAGTTTGTGCTTGCATATTCTTTCCCAGATTGTACTAGAATTTGTTTGGTTTCCATTATCCTACACAGTATCTGGCAACGTCAAAAAAAGAAGCAAAAAATAAAGCAAACATAAAAACAAAAACCAAATCATTGTTCTGCATATGCATGATGATACTTTACCATAGATTTCCAGCACCCAACACACTGTTCCAGCAAATAGTATGATGGAAAGAATACAAGAAGTCCATCGGGTACAATTCGAGCAAAATTGACTGTGTCACGGAAGTTCCATAAAAAATGATAGTCAAATACAACCTTCTAAATAATACTCCCCCATCCCACTATTTTTGGGACATGAGAGAGTGGCACAAAGATTAAGAAACGTAAGATTATGGGGTTGATATTGATGTTAAAAGGTAAGATAAAGTACGAAAGAATATGAACTGCACAAAAATGACCAAATACAAAATGAGGCAAAAATAATGGAACCAACAAAGAAGGTAAAAGGGACAAAAATAGTGGGATATTGGGAGTACTCTATTCTTTAGATTGTCAGTTTGGATAAAGGGTTTTGGAAGGTATAAGTTTCATCCTACAGACTTCTCTCCCTCAAAAACCATTAGAAAACATCCATCTAAACAGACCATATAAGATAATGTATCAATGTCAAAAATCGAGATAGGCACATAAAGCCTAACTTAATTTCGACAGGTAGAAATTTGATTTATTAAGAGCCATAAACAATTTACAGTAGTTTACCAACATACCAATGGCATTGCCAAGATCTAGCTTGTATTGGAGGGAATCACGACTCCGGTAGGAAGAGTTTAAAGGATAACCGGATGGGCCAACAGGTACAACCCCGGCCCATACTTGATCTTCTGATATGACATGAGGATTTTCCAAACGAATAGGAAATTCACTACAAAATTTAGAAGCAATAACTTATAAAAAACTCAATTACGACAAAGCAACAATGCATGCTTGCGAGGAAAATATGGACTTATGTGTATGAGACTCACAGCTTTAATTCATCTGCAAATGAGTCCAATGGGGATAGTGTGCCTGATGTTAATATTATAGATCCAACACCCCATTTGGAAAACTCTTCCATGGCAATTCCTGGATTGAAACACCACCAACTTAACATTCTTGATGCCTTATCTGCAGCAAAAAAAAAACAGAACATATTGATACTCTATCTCACTACAACCCCTCACCCTACAAGATTATCTCACTGTTTTTTTTCAAGAAAAAAAATATAGTAAGCCATATGTAGAATAGAGGATTAAGTAATCTAACGCAGCTAATCCTTTTTGCATGTAGATTCAGCAAGTATGCTAAAACCTTCCATGTCATACCTTTATAGGCATCATGGCCACTTCCTTCAACTTCCTGAATGTGGGTCTAAAAAAATTGCAAGACGAATAAGGCAACTTATTCAAAATAAAGAATTGTGGAAAGTGCAGAAACAATACCTAGCTGTAAAGGATATAATCATGTGATTCTGCGAGATTCAGATTAAGATGCAGTAAACAGAAAATAACTACACCTTAGAACTTACACGATAGTATTTGGCATGGAGATTGCCAGCATCTCTAAAAATCATTCTAAGAAATTCCCCCATGCTTTCCAGCCTACAGTTCTGTTTGTTTAATCCTTCCTTATTAGTAACACCTGCATCTGATCAAAGGAGCAATAACCAATATTCATCAGAAATGCCATGATAGCAAACTCCGCGTTAAATAACTACGGCAAACAAAAGTAACCCCAAAGCTGAAACCCTCTTTGGATTCATGGAATACATATAACATTTGCTTGTAATCCTTGTATTGGCGCACATCAAGAAGAAATGTAAAGCAAAGCACTCTATCTCATTACACTAAACAAACTTCTTGTTTCCTCTAAAAAAATCTTGTTCTATATGCTAGATTTTTGGTCAGATGATTAGCTTCTCAACTTTAGAGGCAGCAAGAGGCTTACCTACCTTCCTGAAGAAGCACAATAGCTTCTTCAATTATATCAATGAGCATGTTGGCTGTTTTGTAAGTGATGTTAAGATCAGCAAGTAGCTCATAAATGTAAGGCCCGGGTTTTGTAAACCCAAGTTCTTTTGAATTGATAGGCATGTCAGCAATTTTCTTCTCCAGCTTCAAAAGAAGTGCTGCATGAAATGAATGTGTTTCTCACTTTCTTCTGAAAATAACAGCAAACAAATAAAGAAAAGTATGCCCATTCATGAGCATGTTGACATGCACTCGTCAACCTAGTTTATGATGAATTACCTCTGAGAATGGCAAAGTTATCGGGATTGCACGATTTGTCAGACGACATTTCTCTCCTGCCAATGGAAAGATCCACACAATTTTTTGCTTCAGTGATGCAAGCTGTCAGAAGCCCTGCTGGTATGTCGAAAGAGGCTGCATCAGCGCATAAACTCTCCTGTAATGAAATTGAAATTAAAATCTAGCCATAGGTACAAAGTAAATGTCATCAATGCGAAATGCATGCTATATAAGACAACATTTTGAGCACTTGAAAAATACAATTGAAGATTGAAGTTCTGCTTTATGGTAGTGTATACCATTATTGAGGCAGAAAAAGTTCTGCATGCCCCTTAACAGGAATGACCTTATTGAGAACATTTGTGAAATGACACAGAGACATGTGTGGGACAAAATCATGATGAAATGCATAACCGAATGGTATATACTACAAAGGTTAAATGGCTGCAACATACCAAGTTGTGAGCTTCATCAAAGATAAGTATACTGTTTGACGTCTCAATATTCAAAGTTTTCCGATTTTCTCGATCAATAAGATAGTTGTAAGGTGCAAATAAGATGTCAACATCGGCGTGAAGTTCACGCGAGAGATAATAAGGGCACCTAAAATAGTTGTAAAACCATAAGTAAAAAAATTATCAGTGTGAACGAAAAAAATTGTGCTAATCTTACGTGTGATTTCTTCTTCCAATGTTGACTAAATCCTCAATGTCAATCGGCTCATCTCCTAAACTAGGATTAGTCTTCACAAACTCTGAAAAAGATGAAAAGATATTGACTAACACAAAATAAATATTTAATACCGGAGTACTAAAAAGTAAGGGAAATTTGTAAGCTACACCATATGGTCCATATCATTACTAATTCTGCTGCAAGATACATTAAACATAAACAATCAATCATAAACAAAACTTAAAGAAAATTGTCCTGAGACAATGAGAGAGTACCCTGTACATACTTAGACGAGTGTACATAATAAGCAGAACTGAAGGTGAAGTACAATCTAACCTGCAACGCGAGGAAAATAGGCACAATACTTTTTTCCCTTTCTTTTAGATAGCAAGCGGCAGGCATTATTCTGTGTTCTCCCACGGAGTACACTAACTTCTTCATGGATGCACAATTGCTCTCGAGATCCTAACACAACCATTTTAGGTCTGCAACTCATATCAGATAGTCAAATTAATTTTTAAATACCAAAAAGAAACAATGTGAAAAGTTATCAGTGGGACCTCAAAATCAAACAAATGGAAAAGATAGTGTAAGGCAAAAAGTTTATATAAAATTAGACAATGGGATCACGCTGAGTTGTATATGGATATTGAACCCATTTATCTCATATTGTCATGTGATTACATGTAGATCTAATTGTGAGCCTGCCTCTAGGTAGATGTTACCACCAATCCCGCACCGAACAAAAAAAAACTAGTGCCGAATTTCCAACAACAATATACATCTAATTGTGAGCCTCTAACCTGTAATTTGTCCTTTTTAGCTCGTCAATCACTTGCTTAATCTGACTGTGGGTGCGTGATGTATATATAATGGCAGGCAAACGTGATGACTGAGACTGTGATACTGAAGCATTACCCAACTCCTGGCTGGCTCCATTATGACGTTTTCTTTCACACTTCCGCAAGGAAAACCCACCCAGACTTTTCCTCCAAGCCAATGTGGCACACAGGAGACACAGTGTCTTTCCAGTCCCGGTCGGACTCTCTAATAGCGCATTACATTTCTGCAACATCACAATAGTCAAAACAGAATTCCCCCCATAAGTGTAATAATACAAGAACTCATGTTACAGAAATTCAATAAATTGCAATGACTAGCCATTATAGCCTGAGAAGAAGCAATGGTACAATAATTCTTGTTACAGAAATTGAAGTGTAACTCGGAACAATTCTTCGCAAAGATAGATATTTAACGAGAAAGGGGGAAAGAAACAAAACGAATAAACAACTGTATAAAGAGAATCAAAGTGTACATCTTGAAGAGATTGGATGACTTTCTCCATGTAAATAAGCTGGGAATCGTAAGCCTCGAAAGGGAAATCGACGTCGACACCCCTGATTTTGTACGTCGGCATCTTTCCGATAAACTGAAACCCACCGTGATTACCCAAATCGATCAGAGCCCTGCTCCCCTCCACAAACCCTAGGAAGCATGTCCACTATAAGCTCCAGTGTGTATTTCCCGCCGTTTTTAGAGCTTGATTTTATGGATCTTCCCTCTTTTCGTCATTGTCTTCCTTTACTTGACCCTAACTCATTTCTACACTGACTTTAGGTCAAAAAATTGATATCAAAATTGACTAAACTTGCACCTACAATTGATATAACTATATAAGTGGAAAATGAATTTTAGTCGGAAATGAGTGGGGCTTTTACCAAAAGAGTTAGAGAAGGTAAGAGCTACCAATTTTGCGAATGAAATATCATAAATATCTTAACTGGGATAAATGGCCGCATTTTCTGAGTTACATAGAACCGGACCGTTTTTCGAAAGCCAAATAAGACTATAGTTGTATTATACTAGTGTGTGGTGCTTGTTTGAAACAAACTAAGCACTTAATTTTAACATTTAGAAAATGTTTTCTAACGGTGATATTTTGTTTTAGCATTTTAAAATTTACTTTATGCCATTAAAAATACAAAGTAATACAAAGTCTGGAGTAAATTAGTGTGTCTGTGTATATATGTGTGTGCGCGTGTATATATATTCAAATAAATATAAAACCTTAAAAAATTGAAATCGACCCTTTATTATTTTTTGTTTAAAGAAAAATAGTTTATATGTTTAAAAGTTTTAGTTGACATAATTTAATTCATTAGGACTAAGAGCCCTTGAATCCTCAGGAGTGACCCATAATTTAGGCTTGGTGGCTATGGATGAAGCTTGAAGCTCTATACATGATAATTGATAAATATGATGAATAGGTAGAGAAAGAGAGAAATAGAATAAGTGTAGTATGTATCTATTAAAAGTTGATGGCGGTTCCCACTTTCTCCATAATTGTATAACTGTATAAGGAGCTTTTAGGATTATGGTTTACATGAGCTTCATTCATGGGTTTTTTCTTGGCCATGCTCAATATCTATAGCAATAGTAAATTTTATTTTATCACTAACAATATAAACCTTTTTAAATTTAAATTTTTTTATCTTGGTTGTGAAGATAGAAAAGAGGCAAAGAACTATAATAATATTGCATATTCAATTCAAGCCTAACCTTTTCTAAAACAAAGTATTTACCATTTACATCTTATATGAGTCATGGAAGAAAATACAAACAACAACAACAACAACCCAGTTAAATCCCATAAGAGTAGGGTCTGGGGAGGGTGTGTGTACGCAGACCTTGCCCCTACTCGAAAGTAGAGAGGCTGTTTCCAAAGAGACCCCCGGCTCAACGTCGAAAGTTGCATTGCTTGACTAACTGCTACTTCATTAATTAAAGAAGCGCAAATAGTTTAGATATCCATTTTGATTTATTCCATCACACCCCAAAGCCAAAAACAGGTGAAATTTTGGCTCCATCGGAAATGATGGAAATCATGGAAGAAAATGAAACTGCAAATGAAATCAACTACGTATATGAGGAATAATTTTATCAAATCATTTAAGTTAAAGTATTCGCATCTATTTCTTTGAGTTTGAGTATTTTTATTCTTGAACATTTTTCATATTTTTGAATACGGTGGATCCATTCTGATCACCGATGTCTTCCTTTGACTTCTCTTTTTCTTCATTTGCGGCTTACGCTCAAGGGCCGAGTTCTTTTCAAATGCAACAATTTCAAGAATGACAACAAATGTAGAGGTAGCAATTTCAGAACCAGTGGCGCCCGACCGTCCCGACGACCGCCATGCCGCCACCGCACGCAACGGCTCCCACACAGGACGTCCCTTATGGTATCAATGAGTTATGGTATCAATGAGGTTATACCTGAAACACAAGTTCCAAAAAAAAATCGAAAGGTAAGGGAAAACGTGAAGGGGGACCAAGCACAACTCAGAATGCTCGAGAATCTTGGACCAGGACCAAGGAGGAAGCATTAGCCAAAGCTTGAGCTATCATTTCCACCAACCCGATAAAAGGTGCGTTTAACTTTAATTAATTTTTTTAGTTAATATTTTTTCTTAAGTTTATTATCACTAGTGGACAAGCGACGCCTTTTGAGCTAAAGTGACCGACAAATTCCATGAGTTGATGAACTCAAAGTTGTACCACCTTGTTCACTTCGTAGCTTCCAAGTACCGCGATATGAATAAAAAATCAAAAATCTAGCGGTATCCACAACAACATTTACTTGAACCGTTGAGCGGTTCGAGTGATCAAGACGTCTTGCAGCAAGCAATTGATAAATATCCGGCACAATTTTCTCACTCATTTCGGCATCTTAGGGTTTGCCTTGTGGAACATCTTCCATGGATGTTATAGGTTGGTGCCAGTTCCAAACAAGGTAGCTCAGGCGAAGCGATTCAAAACGTTTGAATCGAGCGACTATAGTCCCGACATGTTCGATGCTTGTTAGATGCCGAGTATCAGTGACGATAATGATGACATACCAACATCACCGGAGCCGAAACAACCCATCGATCGGGAGGACTCAAGTGAAAAAACGAGAAGGATCCTCACGCATGGTGCCCAAACCCTTGATTAAAGGGTTCAAGCAACTCAGCACTTTGTTGTCCGCTTTGCTGAGATGCATGCGAAGAGGCTTCGGGTTAAACAATAAGCGAGAGTGGAGAAGCTTGATCAAAGATGCAAAGAAAAAACGGAGCAGCTTGTCGTCGAGCGCCAACGCCTAGAGCAAGAAGACTTCAAAATCATGACCACTGATGTCGATAAGCTTGGTTTGGTGGAGCGTGCAGTGGTGATGAGGATAAGGATGAAAGATACGATATCCGAGAGGTGGCTTGGAGGTGCGGCAGGCGATGGCTCAAGCGGGGGATGTTTAGTTTTTTTATGATTGTGTTTATTTTTAATATGTATTGTTATTTTTTTCCTTCAAAAAAATATATTGTTTTACGCACTATTATTATATTTCTTAGACGCACAATTATTATATGAAATATTTGCACTAAATGGCACTAAAACTTAAGTCATTTCCCTAAATAGCACTTAAACAGTTTTATTCCCTAAATATCACTTAATAATGTTCATAATGTCTAGTTATGGCGAATATTTGCTTGAATAATGACTAATATATAATGACTAAAAGTGCTACATTGGGAAGAAAAACACATGTGATGCTATTTAGGAAAAGTCATTATGTTTAGTGTTATTTAAGTAAATTCTTCTTATTATATTTATTATTTAAATTTTAATGAAATGCTCAATTATTACAAGTTTAATAACATGTTTTATTATGTTATTATTGGAAGCATCTAAAATTACAGTAGTTACTTATACACCAGTTGCTTACATCAGTTCGTTTAGGATGCTTATGGTGTCTCGTTTGTAAAAGTGACAATTCTTCCCCCCAACCTTCCCTCTAAACCCTCCATACCCCGACTCCACCCCTGTCCCTACTCTCGCCCTCTCCTTACCTCGGCAGTATACTGCCAGGGCTGGGGTGAGGGTTTAGTGGGAGGGTTAGGGGTGAAGGAATTGTCATTTTTACAAACGGTGCACCGTAGGTGCCATAAACAAACGGGTGAAAGCAAATGACACCAGTATCACTGATGTCATTTTAGGCTTATTCTTTATTATTTTTATATTTTTAGTTCAATTGTTTAAAATAAAATAATTGTTAAAAATAATATTAAAAAATAGAAGGGGGCAAAGGGGAATAGGGGGCAAACTAGAAAGGGACATTTCCATTGAAGGGAAAAGGAAGGGAGGGAAAAGGTGAAGCTAGCGTGGCACTGAGCTAGGGAAGGGCGGAAGGCACACCGGCCTGATGGCCTAGTTAGGGAAACGAGCTCTTCATTGGCCTGAATGATAAGAAGCTCACTACCTAAGATAATTAATGTGGAAGTTAATCCAAGTTCGAGTTTGAGCGGTATTAAATTGGATTGCGTCATTAGATTGAAAAAGTATGAACAAACAATGGCTAAACCAGAAAAGGATGTGACTTCGGCAATGTCATAGTAGTAATTAAGAACAAGGGCAACACCCCTGAATTATTTTTAAAGGCTATTTATAATACTGAAAAACGAATAAGTTTATTTTCTTAGTATTTAAAGAAGTAAAATAAAATCTTTGTAAAATTAAAAAAATAAAAAGTATAATATAAAGTGTAATACAACCTAATAACTATTACTCCGTATATTTCAAATATTTTACCTTTGTATTTCATTTAAATAATTATGTCTTACTTTTAAACTAGATTTTATTGAATTGGAGTGGTGGCTTTTTTTCGACTGGGGACTAACATAAAAACTCAAGAAAATTATAAGAACTTTGTTTTTGACCAAGGGCAGCTACCCCTATATTCCCCTCGGGGGATCTGCGAGAGTGGATAAATACTAAATGAGAAGAAATTAATCAAAAGTAGTAAAAAAAACAACAATGCTATGTTCACGAACTAAATGATCACAAACTTACGATTAATGATTGAAATTTTCATTTTAAAATTATTTTAGACTATTTAATTTTTATTGAAGTTCATATATAGTGATCGAGTTTGTGAATTTTGTGGTCATTTTATTTGTGAATCCAGCATTTCTCCAACAAAAAAAACAAAGAATACAACTGAACTGAACGAGCGGAAAATGTGGAAACGCAACAAACAACAGCTAATTAAGGGAAAACCCTCGGAACAGAACACTACTAGCTCCTTTAGATTATTATATTACTCCCTACTTAAACTCAAACAAACAATAGTCCCATTTGCTTTGATTTGCTCATCATCTCTCTTGCATGAATAGAGTGTATAACTCTTGATACATACCATTATAAGATCATTATATATACTCTATTATATATCCCGATTTTAATATATATACTCGCAAATTTACACATGGAAAAAGAGTACATATATATATTAAAATAAATATAATAATGGAATCTGTAGTGGCGGGTGACATGGATGTATCAGAGGCGCCACCGACCACTCAAACTAATTCCAATCCCGCCCACTCTCCCATCTTCAACAATGCAACCCGTCAAGTTACTTTGAAGGTAAATTCACCGTTTCCCGTGCTTGTTCTACGTTTTTTATGTTTAAA